CGAATTCATTTTGTGTGTGCGCATATTTTAGCCGTAATGTAAGCCATGCCGAAGAAGCAAACAGATCGTCATTGCACAGCACAAAAAATGTGAACAACAATACAGCAATTGTAGCAACTAGCGAAACTGTGCTAAGGCTGAACGCTGCAAGGAAAGAAACGATACTCGTACAACAACTGGCAACCGGCAACGGCCAACAGAGTAATGTTTGCATCGACCTTTTTGGAAAATGAAAACATAAAATGCTTACATACAAACACATATACATTTATATACAAACAATTGTCCTTTGGCTAAACTGCAGTGACATACGCACAAACATACAAACACAAACACACACACACACACAAAACAGGCCACAGTTTACGAAATGTAGCATACACACAGGCGCTTTTAGCCCGACCCGAACATTTTAACCCATTTTAAATGGCTCAAGTGCTCATTTTTTTCAGTTTGTAACGCGCATTCCAACATTCCAGCATCGAGCATCGACTTGCGCTTTGTTATTGTTGCTTATTTGCTACTTTTTTAGTTGTGTGTGTGTGTGTGTGTGTTTTTTTTTTTCAATAAAATTTACCCTCCCATTTGGGTGGGGTTTGTACTGCTGCTTATTTTAGTTTATTTGCCAATAGTCTTGCCAATTCTTAGCCTGCTTATGCTACGCTTTTGTTCTGGGCTCAACTGTGGCACAGCTGTTGGCCTTAAAGATTTCAGTGGAGCTGTTGCCGCATTGCTGCCTTTTTAAACCCCTTCATGCCAAAAAATATAAAAAAAACTAGAAATAAGCAAACAAACGAACAACCTCAAACCGTTAAAACGCTTAGCGCGTTTATTTAAGTATGCAACTTCCTATATACCTTTTTTAATAGCCGTATAAGCCGATGAATCTTTTGCTCTAACACAAAATGTATGTATATACATATACTTCATATATGTATGTTTAAATATATGTATGCATAAATGTGTGTGCTGACGGGTTTTATTTATGTGCTTTTGATAGCTTTTACCAGTTTTTCGTGTGCATAATTAAAAAGAATTTTAAAACTTTGACATAGGATAATCGTATAATCTTAATGAAGGTTTCATTATAGATATCAACACTGGGGTATCGAATTGAGGTAACTGTGGTAAAGTCGGAGGCCTTCTAATAAACTCATATGGGCAAATCTAATAAAATCGATACACTTTTAAAACAAAAAGTTGAATTTTTTAATTTGTGGGCACACTTATGTTCTATATATGATTCTATTCGCAATCTCTTAATAAATTGATAAATATAAGGGTAACTCATTTTCATGAAGTACTTCAAAAGTTAGACGAGGAATAAACCTTTAGATCGCTTAAATAGAAATCAAAATAATAAGCTGGGTTCAAATTACGTTGTTCGAGTTGTAAGTTTTCAGCAATGCTTTTGAAAGTTGAACTCACTTAACTGGGACGTTCTAAACTCAATAGCATCCCCCGTTTTAACCGGTTGGCTCCGGTCTTCGAGATAACGGTACTTAAAAATTTGAATAAATTTTAACTATTTTATAAATACTAGTGTTCGCCCAGCGGTTGAAATTCAACCGCTAAAATTAAGGATAGTTTATGTGAGTTGAGTTGAGCTGAAATAAAATTTGTTGGAATGGGTTAAGTGGAGGGGAGTTTAGCTTAGTACTTAGCATAACATAACATAGAATAGCATTAGATTCAATAACATAACATATGTAGCATAACACATCACAATATAACATCGCACATTCTTCAGTTGTATTTCCTTTTTATCCCTATCACTTTCTTCCTCTCTATCTTTGTCTCTATCGCTTTTAATGTTTATGTTTATGTTTATGTTTATCTACACCTTCATGTTCATGTTCATGTTCAAGTTCATGTTCATGTTCATTTTCATGTTCATGTTCATTTTCATGTTCATGTTCATGTTCATGTTCATATTCATCTTCATCTCATCTTCATCTTCATCTTCATCTTCATCTTCATCTTCATCTTCATC